TTCTTTGTTGCTCATGAACTCCTTTGAGCAGCCCAAGCCACCGAGGGAGCAGCACTGAGGCGGTAAGGTCCATCCGCCGGCCGGATCGATGGTAAAAGCAGCCTTGTTGCCCGCCGGATTACATCGATCAACTAGCGAGCGGTGGCAGCAGCCACAGAGGGAGAGAGGAAGGGAGAGGAGGGGAGGGGAGGGAGGGATGAAAGGAGAGGACTGAATAAGCGCCAGACTCGGCACGCAGGATTCATCCTCTCCTCTCTGATCTCCTTCGTTCTCTTGACTCGCGCTCAATCTATTCACTGCTGCGATGCGTAACATGGGCGATTGCGTCCAACTCGCGAGGTGCAACACGGAACAAAACGCAGCGGTGGCTGCGGACGCGGCCGGCCCGAGGCAGTCCCAACCGGGTCGCTGGTGCTGCCCTCATCCCGGCAGCGGCGACCTCTCAAACTAGTTGACCGCGCGGGGCGGGTGCTCGACGTGGGCCGGTTTGTTCAGTGGCTCGTTCACCACAGTAATATTAGCCGGGCGATAAAACTCGAGAGCAAGAGGCAGGAGCGCTCGTTTGCTACTTCCCGAGGCTCGAGGGTCTATTAGACATCCGCAACGGTGGTCCAAGTCGCAGCTCAACCGATGTTCCATTACACCAGGATATAGCATACACCGGGGTACGGTTGCCCGCCTTCTGTCTCGCCCACTTTCAGCAGAAAGTGCAGTTTGTTGAGAGACCAATCCACTGTTCACCAGAGGTCGCTGTTTTCAGTAGATTAGGTACTGTTTTCGACAGGTCAAGCAACCAACTACCCTCAAGAGCTCGACCCACGGTTTCCGACGGGTCACTCCACCGTTCTAGGTAGGTCACCCGACTGCCCCGGAGACCCGGAGTTCAGGTGAGTGGTCCGGAACTCCGGGAACTCCGGAGCCCGGAGCAGAGTCCGCCCGGAGGCCGGAGGCGGTGTGCTCTGGCCTCTCGGAGGCTGGTGATTCATATGAGAGGTGACTGGGCTCCGGGTGGTGGTACGGACCGGTACCGGCCACGGGGCGACCCGGGATGACTAGACGGGATAGAGACGGGAAGGGAGAAGGGCCAGAAGAGATAGGGTCAGGGACGGAATGGGACGACATGATTGGGTGACATCTGCTAAGTAGACAGGTGAAGGTGGCCGGTGGGCAAGGTGACCAGACCACTGACCAGTGATCATGAACGTGACCAAACTTTCCTCCAGCTTCATACCGAGGCAACGGCTTTCGGACCTATTCGTGCGATCGTGAACGGAAAGGAAAGCGACCTGTTGTTGACACAATAACAAGCAATCTCTGCGATCAAATGTTGTCCGTTACTTAGGGATTATTATACCAAATGATGAAATAGATCCATGTTTAACCAGCGCAATCCTCTCAAAATCGCCAGTTAGGCCCAGTTAGATCGCCTTGGTGTAACCTTCCCTGTCTCTGCACCAACTCTGCAAACAGACAAGAGGAAAGTCCAGAGAGCGAGCAATCAGTCTAACGCTCGTGACCACGCGTTCAAAGCACCACCCACTTTAGGTCGAGCCAGACTGCTGTCAAACCAACTCTCCGGTGCCGCCAGCTCCAGTTCTGGACAGCTGTCTCCCGATCAAATCGGCCGATATGGTCCTCAATTTCCCTAACATAGCGAGACACTGAGCTATGGACCGACCGGCTCGCTCGCTCCAGTTTTAGGACAAACGTCGACGCAAGGAAACTGGAGAGGACTGAGCTCCGCATTGAAATCATCTCAAGATCGCCTCGACCAGACGGAAATTAAGCCGGTGTGGCCACGACGAAATGCCGACATTTTAGTGCACACAAGAGAGTCGCTAAAAATAAATGATGTCGCCAGTCGCCTTGACAACTGGTGACGACAAGTGAGGTTCTGAGATATATCGTTCATCTGAATATCTAATATTCCACAGCATAATGCAAACCGTGCCCTGACAGAACACCATACCTGTAGCATCCAGCAACCCCATGTTCCGCGTCTCAACATAAGGGAGCTGAGGGCACCGACATTTCATACCGGACTTATTTTACGGAACATTCTCCAGAGGGAAGCCCCGATGTCGTCAGCAGGCGATGGAGGGAAGCTGGCCTTCGTCACGGAAAACATTTGACTTTCAAAGTGCGTCTTCGACCCGAGACAAGCATCTTCAGAGGCTGATCCAGGATCGGAGCCAAAAGGGGGCTTAAAACGGAAGCGCTTCCAAAGGAAGGAAAATGGCACGAAAGATGTTCACCTAGTTTGGATCAATTGGCATGTTAAAACTGACCATACGCTCATAATATCAGAGAAATTGATGAAAAATCCAAAACTTGAATCACATCATATCCTCTTACTCCAATGCGGTGCATCCCTCTTTCTGGATCCGCCAGCGTCTAAAAATGACATCGAGTTCAGTCTTGTCCCCGTTCCTAACCTACAGATGAATTAGACCGATCTCCACGACCATCTTTAGCCGCGCCCCACACCCACCGAACCACTCCTGCACCGTAGCGAACTGTCACGGCTCACGGCAGCTGGCTCACACTCACGGTGTGCCTCCTCGCACTGACGTGATTCTCACGGAAATCGGGCCACCACGGGCTGAGCTGAGAATTGTGTGAAGCTGTAACCAGCAGCCGAAGGCGATGGAGAATTGTGGGTCGCTGACACGGAATTTGAGCGGCGCTGGATTTCAGCGGGTTTTGTTTGAAAAGTGAATACTATGCTATCTTATCACAAGTGCTTATCTTATGTGCTTTGGCCGCTTGTTAGCGTTTGAGTCGTAACTCAATCGCAAGGGTCAAGGGTGAAGCTGCTAATCCGCTATATCTCCAAAAACTTTCGGGACCTGTTGTCCTTCCTTCAAAATATCAAGATAACGTTTATTTCTGTGTTCTAAACGATAAATTTCAATGTGTCAAACAATAAAACCAGCTACATCTTCGCACATCCAACGCACAAAGGGTTAGGGTAGTTCAAAATACATTTTCAATTCTCCTGTTGATTCGTTGTATGACAGCCGCAAGCATATTCCCTGTCCACCATCTCATCACCCAGCCTATTACACCGTGATTAACCATACCCTCATTCGCTAGCATACAGCTCATCGCCATGCAAAGAAAGCTCCTTCAATGACTTGTTTGCCTGAACAGCCCTTTCTCCCGTTCATCACCTAGAAGGAAAGCGGTCTAACGTCGAGTGAACGGTGACGCTGATTGCCAGCCCAGCGTCTTCCTGTGTTCTCACGGCAGTGACGAGCAGTGACGAGCTGCCCGCGGAGTCCGCACCGGATGTCCGGACCCGGGGAGGGAGAGTTGGGAGGTGAGTGATTCCCAGGGTGAGTATCAGCGTGATTCCCGGAGGGTAGCGGCTGGGAAGTACGGATTTATGTGATGGAAGGAAGCCAGAAGAGAGTTGCAAAATGTGATGACACATAGAGAGTAAGGTAAATACTGATTATCACATAGGGATGATACCGATAATTCTAGGAACACCAATGCTCTAGCTGTTTTTGAGAAAGCAACTACAAATCCAACTTGGAAGGCAGAAAATACGAGTTCAAGTCCCAATCAAGTAAAGCAGCTAATACTAAGTTGATTCAAATAATTTTAACCGTTCCTCTCTAAGTAGAATAAAAATGTCATTTATCTGCGTAAAGATGATATTCCGCAGTTCATTCAACGTGACAATATTCCAGGAAACCCCAAGCCACCGTCTTCCTCAACACCATATCAGAAAGTCAACTCCGACAAGAGGTCAGGGGTCGGCTCGCCTCGGGCGAAACCTGACCTTTTCCGACCTGTCAGCCCAACTCTGACCTGAGGCCTGCCGTGTTCCGTCACGTGACAAAGTTCATCGGTCTCTGTCAGTGATGAAGCCAGATGGACTCTAGAAAGTGGCTTTGGAAGCAGAGATGTCAATTTCGGTCTCAGATGAATGGAAGATAATTGTGGAATAACATAGTGCCAGCTATACTTTGACACCAACGGGAAATCAGACAGAAGCGAAACAGGAAAACAAAAGGGCGTTTTTTGGCATGCCTGCTCGGTCACCACATTACCCGCGGTTTGTTCAGACATCCATGCATCTAGACCATCAAACCACGATACGTAACCTGCAAATAACCCACCGTAAATCAGACCACTTGTCGAATGCACTGAAACGCTCGCAGCACGAACCTACGATAGAATACAATCCCATAACCAGCCCCGCAAATCAAAATATCGCCCGATCGCATGTTTAGCTAGACCGCCTCGCTCATCGCTTCGTGTGTTGTATAACCTTCGCAGGCACGAACGCCATACGAAGCGCCATCACGGAACACCGCAGGTAGGCAAGCCAAGCGGTAGTCCGCCTGGTGAGCTCAAGCTCGTAAAGAGCCGCACCCGGCGACTAGCTAGTGGGTAGCCTGAGCGGACAGCGGGGCAGTCACAGCGACACAGCGGGGCAGCGGATAGCGGCTTAGCGGCAGTGGGATTCGCCCCCACACAGCGAGGCGCTGTTCCTCCCGCTACCCCTCCCCTAGGGGGGAGGACCGGTTACGGTACCACCTGTTTGGTAGGCTGGAAGCCGGTCACCAGGGGGGGGAGGGTCGGGAGGGGAATACAGGTCACGTGTACTGTATACTTTGCCGCAGGGGACGAAGGAGGACGCGAACTTTGCAGACCGTGATGAGTAAGGATTAGGATATAGGTCGTGGGCAGAAAATTGGAAATGTTTAGGTCGGGAACTGGGACTCGTCACGTATGACGTTGTTTGGTTTTTTAGATGCTTACGTAAGCATTTCTGGGGACTCCCTCTGTGCGTATCTTCGTTTGACTCACCAATTGCAGATTGCAAATATAACGCGAGACTTTGGTCCGAGTTGATTTCTGACGACTTAGAGAACAAAGAGCTCCGCTGAGGGCGATTCTCGGTTCGCCCACCCGTCGTCGGTTATTCAGTTATTCACATTCGTTCTCGCTCCGTTCAAAGCTATAGCGCGAGTTCTCAGACTTACCCAGCGCTGCACTGTCGTCTCGCTGAATGAGATCCAGGAAGAAATTCGTCACATAGTAGAGATGCTCCATGCCCTTGGGGTCGAACTCATCCGAAGACCGGTAACTGGCGTTCAGTTTCGGTGATGAATACCTCACTGGTTCGAACGGTAGCACACTGCGGGTTTCCACCCCATCCTGGGCGAGCGCTGCACCACTCAGCACCAACACCACCACCACCACAGGCGTCATAGTCACCAATCCCGACACCACCCGCGGTTTGGAGAAGAGTCGCGCACTGGCCTCCATTATGGAGGAGTCACTGCACCAACGCGGACCTCTCTTCCTGGAGGCTGAGCGCGGACTGCCGCCTGCCGCCACAGCGGACGGGACTGGACGTAGCGAGCCCGCCGGCCGCCGCCGCCGCCGCCCGGCGCCCGAGCGTTGAACCTCGGCGCTCGTGACGTCACCGCCGCCGCCGCCGCCGGCTATGTGACGTCATCGCCGCTAGCTGTGACGTCACAGTGATCCAGCCAGCCGGCTGGCCGCAGAGGCTGTGGGTAAATGGCAGCGTTAGTGGGATCTGGCGGTGGAATGGAGAACTAGAAGGCCAATGATAGGTGGTCGCTGAAAATGGAAAAAGTTCAGCAAAATATGGGGCCTGGAGTTAGTCACCGATCAAATATATAAGAGGATTAGGTATGTAGAAATCGAAAACATTCGTTATTATAAAGGTGGCCATTTAAATAGGTATCGTTTACCGGCTACTAACGTTTAGCTCACTCACGGATGTCACAGGTTACGTAATCAGGGAGAAAGGAATTTTTATTTACACTAAACAACGGAACACCAATAGGTGCAGTCTGGCAAAGCTCGCGGATTCCTTGAAATATTTGAATGTCATGTCACAGGGCTGATGCTTTAATGTTAAGGCCGCTGGGGGATCGTGCGCGTGCCACAAGTCGTAACACATATGTATTTCCGTTTTCTTCATGATAAATGGATACAAGCCTTGAAGAATAACAAACGGTTCACGATTTACAAATCATTCTCCGTCGCGAGCATTCTGTCATTTGTTCGCAGATCACGAACCCATAAATTTGTAACCGTGATCCCCAGGTCGCTAGCGACGCCTTCGTGACCTAAATGTAACCACTCACGAAACCATCACGAAGAAGCGTCACGGGATCACGAGGTCATGGCAGAGCGTTACGCCCATAAAATCTGGTCAAATATGAGGTGTAACATTATGAAAAGTGTACAAGCTGCCATACGTTACGGACGCCGTAAGAGAAAGAGAGCGAGTTGATAAAATATCGCGGAGGCGATCGTGGTGGCAAAGCGAGTTTTCTTAGAAGATAATTGTGGCATATGATATGGTGTTTGCATGTGACAGTGAAACTTTTCATGTGGTGTGATGCAAAATCAAGCCATTGAACAGTTTTTTTTTTTAAATAACAAGATGAGATGTTTGTTTCGGGTGTATCTTCATTTCATAGTGTTCAATCCCTCTTTTCATCCCCCAACCTTCCCCTCTCCTCTCCCTCTCTCTCTCTCTCTCTCTCTCTCTCTCTCTCTCTCTCTCTCTCTCTCTCTCTCTCTCTCTCTCTCTCTCTCTCTATCTATGGCTCTCTCCACCCTCATTCTCGGCCACGGGTGCCAAATATCCCGACGTCTCTCAGAGGCTCTGGTTGTTGGCACCAGCCCTCGTCCGAGACACAAACAGACACGTTACAGAGGCCCATCGAAAGGCGGGCCCACCTCCGGTGACGGTTCTTTAGAGGTCTTGGGTCGTCGCGTAGAAAAAAAACACACACACAGAGAGAAAGGTTATGTATGACGCTCGGGTAATGCACGTATCACGTAAGGTCAGCATGAGGGTTAGATCTAGGAGCTGGAGGCCTAAAAACTCGCAAATGGAAATGGTCTGTAGCTTGTAAAAGGACTATTAGCGTTCACCCTCTCCCTGAAGTAATAGTTACGGCATTACTAAGGAAGGATGTTTCATTCTATTCTCACAATCTTACAATGCATTCTTACGAATTATACCAACACACAATCGAGTCACTCCTTCCTTCTCATTCGTTTTTTTCCCCGCCTGCAACGCCGCAATCTCTGCCCAATATCCATCCACCCATCTCGATCATTTTCCCAATCATCTCCCTTCCCTCCCCGCCTCCCCGGAGAATTTCCGCACCAGCCCCATAGGACCGCCGTGGTAGTCGCGGCACGACTCGGGCCGTGTCGAGAGCCGTTACCTGGGAGCTAAGTGACGGTCTCAGTTAGAGACTGGCCGGTGGAGCCGCCAGAGCCCTGGTTTGAGCTGGGAATGGCCCGGTCGAGCAGTGCCGTGATTGGGGAATGGTGGGACTGACACGGGGCGGGACCCTTCTGATGGTGGGGATGAGGAAGTCAGCTATAGTTCGTTTTTTTTTTCAAAAGGACTCTTGCTCCAAGTATGTTTTTCGAAAAAGCACGCGTTTTAGCGAGCAAAACGAGCAAAAACTGAACCAGGAGGAGCCCTCCTGTAAATGGGCATACATGAGCCCGTTGGAGGGAGGCCTAAATAATAAATAAAAAAAAAAACCAGAGAAACTCGAACGTCGCCTTATTTTAACATGTGAAGTATTCCTGATGATTTCCATACGTGCGTTTTGGAGCCAGATATGAGAACAGTGGTGACGTCATGCTGTCGAACTTGTATTGCAGTGTAACGTATAACTATCATGGACGAAACCGCTTACTCGATTATAACCTCGGCAACAGTGAAAAACGAAGTATCCCCCAAATTCTTCAAAACTTTGTCCCATCTTACGGACATTGGGTGCCTGCTGCCACCAGTGACGTCATCAAAGTATGCTAATTTTTCAGGACACAATTTCCGGGTACTTACCGTGCACAATTTGAAATCGGATATTTTTCATCGGTAAGAAATTCTTGGCCAGACGCTGAAGCTTGGCTGAAGCTGCCAGAACTCACGTGAGAGCTTTGGTAATGCACTTTGAGCCAGCGTCCTTTTGAAAAAAACGAACTATAGTGAAATTTGAAAATACGATAAGCCAGCGAACTTACGGTGTGCAAGGGATAGCAAAGTAGGTAACGCAGCTGCTAGGTATTTGAAAACAGAATGACACTATAAGTAATCATTTATCAAAATGAAACGTACCTATTGACTCGTTTTATTTATTTATTTTTGTCCCGTACAATGTTTATGTACGTAAAGCATCGCTGGCATCTGGGTTGACTGGCATCGTTTCAAGTGAATTAATACATTTATAACTTTCTAAACCATATTTCAGTAAACATAGCAGAAAAAAATAAAAACCTTCATTACGTCATGTCACCAAAGGAAGAAAATGAGCCTACCGAAAGAATATTAGTTACACAAGACATGTAAACAATGTTAAATCAGGTGATATCTGATTAAGAAGGCTCACGCCAAATTCCCCCCCCCCCCTCCCCATAGAACACGTAGAACTTCCGCAATCTGTTCCAGACTTAGGTAGTTGGGGCGTGCGGCACCTGATTCGAGAAGTTTTGGTATGACTTTCCCCTTAGCTTGAACAGCTGCGCAAGTTGGAATACTTGGAACAAACACGCTCAGTAGACACTCTAACGATCTTCCTGGCTTGCAATGGAACTCTTGCACAAAGTTCGCAAAAGAAAACAGGCAAGTGCAGAGGTTACGACAAGTTCTTTAGCAACGACGTGCCTCAAAGATTGAAAGGGTGAGGGGCAGTTTTGCCATGTTTTATATAAAATATGGGATGAAAAATGATAGGTGATGTGGAAGATGGCTCGGGGGGAGTTATAATCCTGCACATCCTTGCGCTTTATTTGTGACAGAAACTGCTGAATTTCTGGTCGATCTAATCCAGCTTTTTACGGGATATAATTGCTATAAGAACATAATTGAATAAAATTTACGTAAACAAGTTATTTTTCCTGAAAGTCACTGAAAAGAGCAAAAAGTATGTGTCAAGCATACAAATTGAGCACTTAGGTAGTCAGCGACGAACCGATGTTAATTTTGAATAATATCGGTTGATATCTGATTTTATAAGACAACACAAATATACAGCAGTGTTAGTGCCAGAGCGGCAAGTTCGAATGAATTTCCTACAAAATGCTTTCGCTGATGCATGTAAATTGGATATGTAAAGACAAAACTCGATACATAATTCGTAATATAAGATACATCCGACAAAGTAGAATTACCCAGCTCGAAATTCGGTTACGGACGGCTGCTCATTATGGACACAGCCAAGTCGTATGTCCATCAGAGAGCTGACTGGAAACTCTAAAACAGAGGAGTATGCATAATCATCTTTATTAGGTCACTTGAATGACAGCATTTCTTCAACATTGAGCATAAGCCACATTTGAGTCGCTTCAGTAACATTTATTTTCGCAGAATCCCGTCACATCTGACATGAAAACGCGTCCGAAATGCCAATAAGCTGGCTAAAACACGTCTAATTTTGCTCTTTTCTTTGCAATGTCCACGCACTGAGCCACTCAAAAAATAATTTAACGCATTAAGCCGTGGCGACAGTCTGTTAAAGCGCGTCTCAACCATTCCCATGCAGAGACAAACCCGAGATTTCTCCCAGTCGTAACTGCGACGCTCTCCATGAAATGTCTGCCAGTCGTCAGATTTGTTCCCATTCTGGCTTCCCTCGGCCGTTTGGGGAGGGTTTTACTGGGCCACACTGGTCGGCCGATCGGTCGGCAGATCATTGTGCGCTCCAGATGCCACCCGTCATTGTAAGGGCCGATTCTGAACCGAGGCGATGGTGTGCTCCTCGAAGCTGCTTTTCCGTCCGAGAACGTATTTCGAGCGTGTAAAAGAACAAACCGCCGATAAAGCAAACATTGAAATGACATGAACGAAGGTAATGATTCATCTCGGAACGCGTTATCCCGGCAAGAAAGTTATTCTGGGAAGAATAAGATCGGGATGCCGCGTCATGAACAAAGTTCAAACAAGATTGTGGGTGCTGATACTTCAGGGAAAATGTTTCCGACTGCGATACTGTCTGGCACATAAAGTCATAGAAGACAGCAAGAATGAGGTCGCCTGTTTAACATGTCTAATAACACAGATGAACACACACAAACGAGGCAATGGAAACCATCTCTCAATCATTTACAAGCATATATACGTTAATAAAAGTACCGACTTTTAGCACCATTCTATAGGGTGGATGCAGAAGGCAAATCACACTAGCATCGAGTTGGGGCAAAATGTCAGCGAAAATTAAAACCTTCTGTATCGGTCACCAACAAACACGAATCAACAATGCAAGTCGAAATCATAGAAAAATGGGATGGTTGCAAAGGGCCATGGCCTATAATTCAGTTAAAGTTACATCAATTACACACAAAAAAACATAGCCCACTGAAAACAGCTGTTTACATTTACACTGTGGGCCTGGATAGAATCCGTAGTTCTGTTTTGTTTCATGGCTGAGTCATCATCTTATTCACCGAAGCACAACCAATCGATGGAATCGACTTTGTGGCGCCCTTCACCGTCCCCTACGTAATATTG